CTAAATTTTGCATGGAACTGTTCCACAATTTTTACAAATTTCCATTTCTGTCCTTCATGCATCCATTTATGCTCTTCTGAATGTCATTAATTTCCTATTTTTAGAAGCTAATTGTTACATGAATTGGTTCTTGGTGTAAAAAAAATGTTCCATGCTTACTCCTTCAGACCTTTTGCTTTCGCCCTGTTTCCCCGGTCTCAACTTTGAAAAACATGCCTTTGGCATGGTATGAAAGATTTTCGTCAAGGAGTGGGCTATAATAAAATTTTACCATTTACTCAACTCTGTCGTTCATAAAGCGTTTTTAAAATAAAAAGTAAACATTAGTTGTGTATAAAATTATCTCATACCTTTTTCCTAAACGTGTATTGAGTAACTCGTTCATAACGTAATCATTGTAATAGTCTGCCATCTGGTTATTGCCAGATTCCTCTGCAGTCATATTTTATAATAATAATTTATAATCATGCTATGGTCAGTATATATATATATATAGAGAGAGAGAGAGAGTGACAACGGCAGATTGAGTTAAATATGCATTCATTAAGGGGAATTATTTACAAGGGAGGGCTAAAAGTTAGTAAAAGGTAATCGAAACATCGTTTTTAAGGTAAGTCGTTGGATTCCACGAGGCGTTTCGTTGCTGCGTCCTCGTCTCTTCTTCCTGTCGTCGCTCCTCGCCGTCGTCTCCCGCGCAATCGTCCTATTCGTCTGTCGTTTACTCGTTGTCAGCTAGGTGGCACTCTCTTGGCATTACGTCATTAAGGAATATAGGAAGGATACGATAAGGTGCACATCCATTCCTACACACACACACACACACACACATATATACAAATAAATAAAATTGAAGTGTCTGTTTGTAATTTCAAATTAGCAGCTTTTTACTTAATGCACTAAAAGTATATACGGTACTCATAACAAAAAAACAATTTTTAAAAAATTTTTGTCTGTCTGTCTGTTTATCTGTCTGTCTGTCTGTCTGTCTGTCTGTCTGTTCCGGCTAATCTCGGAAACGGCTGGTGCGATTTTAAAAATTCTTTCACTAATGGAAAGCTACATTAACGGGGAGTAACATAGGCTATATTTTATTCCCGTATTCTTACGGGAACGGAAACTATACGGGTGAACGTGAAACTGAATGCCAAGATGAACGCCAAATTGAACGCCAAGCTGAGCTAATGAAGTCGTTGTTTTGGTTACTGGCGACCGATGCTCTTCATGAGACATAACAGTGTTACGCGCACATGATAATACGCTGACACGTGCCATAATTTTTTTTTTATGATAGTTATCTCACTGTTCAGTTAAGTAGAGCATCGGCTGTTTCGGATGCACTTTTAAAAATAATAAATCAAGGCTTCGTAAGCAAAAAGCAATGCAAGAAACAAAAAATTGATAAGTTTTACGGTTAGTTTTAATCTTTTCTTTTTTTTTTTATTTACATTTTTAGTCACATTTAAACAATAGTTATTATAATCCCAATCTATATCTATACAAATAAATAAAATTGAAGTGTCTGTTTGTAATTTCAAATTAGCAGCAATTGTTTGCGGGGGCGGGGGTTTAAGGGGCGTTAGAAATTCCGATTTTTAAGTTATTAGACGTACAGTCTTGAAACTTAGTAAGTAGATTCCTCTCATAGGGTAGAGATACGCTACAAAATGGGTTTCATGAAAATTGCCCTCAAGTGGCGTTGCGGGACTTAAGGGGCGTTATAGATAATTATTTCCATTTTTAAACTATTAGACGCACAGTCTTTATATTTGATAAGTAGATTTCTTTTATAGAGTAGAGATCAGCTATAAGAAGGTTTTGTGAAAACAGACCTCTAAATGGCGTTGCGGGGGATTTAGTAGCGTACTAGATAAATATTTTCGTTTTTAAACTACTTCACCTCCCTGCTTGAAAATTGGTAGGAATGTTTCTTTCATGGAGTAAATATCCGCTACAAAACAGGTTTGGGAAAAATTGACCCCCAAGGGGTGTTAAGGGGTGTTAAGGGCAGATATAAATAATTACTTCTATTTTTAAACTATTAGACACACAGTTTGAAATTTGGTAAGCAGATTCCTCTCATAGGATAAAGATACACTACAAAATGTGTTTTGTGAAAATCGACCCCTAAGCCGCGTTGCGGGGATTCAAAGGGCGTTATTGATCATTTTTTTTTTTTTTTGCATTTTTAATTTATTGTACGCACAGTCTTCAAATTTTGCTAAGCAGATTCTTTTCATAGTGTGCAATTCCCCTACAAAATTGGTTTTGTGAAAACAGACCCAGAAGAGGCGTTGCGGGGGCTCAAGTGGCGTTATAGACAATTATCCCCATTTTTAAAATGTTAGACGTACAGTCTTGAAATTTGATAGCAGATTCCTTTCGTAAAGTAGAGAACCGCTACAAAATGGGTTTCGCGAATATCAACTACTAAGTTTAATTTCGGGATATTAAGAGGCATAATCGATAAATATTTCCATTTTTAAACTACTTGATCATCCTGCTTGAAAATTGGTAGGCATGTTCCTTTCATGGAATAGAGTTCCTCTAACAAAGAGTAAAACGAAAATTGACCCCCAAGGAGAGTTGCGAGGGGTCTAGAGGAGTTACAGAAAAAAATTCCTGTTTTTAATTGTTAGACCCATATACTTGAAATTTGTTAAGCATGTTTCTTTTGTTAAATAGGGATCCACTAAGAATGTATTTTAAGCAAATCAAGTTCTGGGGGGGGTGCAGGGGGTTACTTGGACGTATTGACAAAAAAAATTACTTTTTTGGAGCTACAAGGACTATAATAATGAAATTTGGTTTGCATTTTTCTTTTGTTGAGTTGAAATCCGCTAAGAGCGGTTATTTTGGAAAACGGCTCTCGACGGGATTACGGGGATATTGATAGTAAAACTTTTTTTTCTTCTGTTAGATTTAGACTTGAAATTTGGCTTGCATCTTCAATTTACGGAGTAGAGATCCACCGAAAATTGGTTTTGCGGGAATCCACTTGGTTTTTGTGTTACGAAAGAGCAAACATCATTCTATGCTTCAATTTTAGAGATTTTTAGAAAACACAAATTAGATGAGTTCTGCCCCCTTTTTTTTTATCAACAGGCGACAGTTACAGGTCTAAGTATATTTTTCAATACAATCGAATTCTTAATGCAGGACTTAGATATCAATAATTTATGCATATATATAAGCAGTAAAAATTTATAAAACATCATGAAATTCCCAGCGAAGCGGGCGGGTAACCAGCTAGTCTAATATATAAAATTCTCGTGTCACAGTGTTTGTAGCCAAACTCCTCCGAAACGCTGCGGCCGATTCTTATGAAATTTTGTGCGTATATTCAGTAGGTCTGAGAATAGGACGTAAACTATTTTTCATTCCGATATTGTAATTAGTTAAAAAGATATTAATTAAAAACCTTAAAACACTTAATTGTCTTAACCCAGCACGTTATTTTCCCGCCTATCGTCGTGAATGAACAGAGGGTGAAATTTTTCGGTATTCTCGACGTTATTAAACAGCCATCCGATATTTGTTTTTTAAATCAGACAAAAAATAATTACAGAATCGGAAAGATCATTTCTTTCGCCACGATACAGTATAATCGTTTTTGAAAAATAATAATATTTTCTATTTTTTTTAAAAAAATAGTTAAAATTGATGCGTTTTTATGAAACTTATTACGAAATCGTTGCGTATGAATTTACTTTCGTGTTATGAAAACGATATTCTACACTAAATAACTTCAAGCCTTTTTCTTTTAGAACCAGTCATTTAAAAAATAAAATGCCCAAAACTTTTTTTTTAAGATTTTTTGAAAAATTGTCGAAATTTTAAACTTAACATTAAATAACTTCGTTATGTATTAAGATTATCATACGAGACTTTTGTTGCGTTTGTAGAATAATGTTATCAAACTTCTGTGCGAAGATTGAAAAAATCGCTTAAAAATTACGGATTTTAAAAATTTTTTTGTGATTTTCGTAAAATAACGTTATTGCAAGAAATAATCTAAACAGTATTTTTTGTACATTTTTTATTTAAAAGTCCTTCTTTTTCGAAATTAATGTGTGAAGTTTGAAAGCATTAACTTAAAAATTAAGCCCTAAAAAATAAAAACTTTAAAAAAAAATACGCAATTTTACAGTTTGCCAAGCCTTGGCGTCGAAAAATGCTTTCGCGCCAAATAGCTTTCAACTGTTTCACCTGAAACTTCACATGTAACTTCAAGGGTTACACCAAAAAGTTCTTACTTAAACATGCGAAAATCAGCAAATTTGGCGAGTAAAAAAAATGCGAGTGAAAAAGTTATTTTTGCTTCAATTTTCATCATTTTCTCTTTATATAATTTTCAAAATTAAATCATTATTGATGTCAGATTAAGATGAAAGAATGTATTCAATACATTTCTGAGATTCATTTAAAATATTTATCTGTATTAAATCAGTAAATTAAAAAATAAAAAGCCAAAAACTTTTTTGAACAAATTTTAATAAAACACTCAAAATACTTAAATCAATCGTTTAATGATTTCTTCTTTAAAAAAGATAATTGCATGAAACTTTATTCCCATGTGTCGAACACTTCAGAAAATCCTCACAATTTTACTTCAAGATTTAAAATAGTAGTGAAATTTTGTAATTTGAAAAATTTCTACATAATTTCCTACATCAATGCGATAGTCCAGTTCCTACCACACTCTACTCAATAGGGCACGATGAACATTATTGACAACACATGTTACACTATCCGTGTTAACTGAAAACAAGTATTATAAAAATAAAATAAAACTAAATCAATTTCTGCTTAGGTCAACAAAAAAATTTTTTATTTCAATTACTTTTTATTAAATAATTACAATTAATATAAATATGTATATACATATAACAGAATCACAATATTAAGCGGCAAAACAAAAAGCGATCTTCTTTCTGTGTAGGACTGTTATTTTTGTTTGCTACGATTTATTCATTCATACATCACTTTCTCAGAAATTAGGCCATCCCTAGTAGAATTCGAACCAACAACGACCTTTGGATTAGAAGTTCAACGCGCTATCCATTGTGCTACAAGGACACAACGCCCTTTTCCATCTATGGAGTTGGATACTATGTTTGCTTGTTACTATTTATTCATTAATTAGAACTAATTATTGAATTAATATTTGAAAAAACTATGTTAACATCAAGCACCATCCACTACAAGTTTTAAAAAAATGTATTTGAAATTAAGTCGATGAATGAAAAGTATTTTGTTAACGATTACAAGATATAGATATATATAAGGAGAGTGTGAACTAATAGTAAGAATTGAAAAACTTGGTCTTTTACACAAAACAAAATTTTTATACTTCCTTTTGTATGATATATAACGTTGATAGTACCCTGTTGAATAGGAATTCTACTATTCCATTCATGTATGCCGAGTGACCAAGGTCTTACACGTACGTACATAAAACTTGAATGGCTCCTGTATTCTTTCAAATGTTCCTTATTGCTGCAATCGTCTTATTATTTTTTCAACAGATTTTCGATACCCAGGTGGGAATTATGAGCAACCCTGTATTTCAAACTCTTTTTTTTTTCTCTAAGCAATGTTATTCTGTTTAAAAACCATAACATATTTTGCTGTTATTGTAATATTAAAAATTCCAAAAAATCAATTGTGGTCTGATTATTCGAAAATATTTTAGTTCTGATTTTTGATGACTAATTTTATGCAGCATATTCTTAGAATTACGCTATAAGTTAAATCTTTTCTTTCATGAACTTAATAGATATCGTTTATATTTTCAGATGCACGTGGTTTATGGAGAAAATTATAAGTTTGCGGACATTCTGAGTTGCAGGTTAGTATTTCTTTTGAAATAAAATAAGCAAACAAAGAGTGAAATATGTAATTACCAAAAACCTAACGCATGTTTGACATTTATTGCAGTATCGTTGATCAAGATGTGAAATGCGTATTTGAAATTCAGTTCCACAACGATCCCAAGGATCAAGTCAATTTGATAACTGATGACGAGACTTGTGTGTCTGCTGATGCTGATAACTGCTTCTTTCCTCCTAGTCTACTGATAGACAAGAAAAACCTAAAACCAGGTAAGAAACAAGCAACCGTGCTTATAGTCACGTTTTTACAATGATTGGTTACACGCTTCGGTATTGCTTACACCAGGGTACGGGCTATGTTTAATGTTTTTAACACGCTTTTATGAGTTTCACTTGTATGTAACGGAATCTTGGAACTCGATTTTTACCCTCTTTAAATGGTCGGATTGATTCGAAATTTTCACACTTGTCAAGGACCGATGACAATACAATAATTTCAAAATTTTGTTCCATTGTCCTTATCAGGATCGTCAGGAATAACGATAAAGAGATTTGGCTACAATTCCGTATACCACTTCCAGATTTGGCGACTTTTTGCATATGCCATTTTCAGATTTGGCAACTAATTCCATATACTTTTCCAGATTGGGCGACTAATTCCAGATTTAACGACTAATAAGGTTAGCTAATAATTAAGGTTGTAACCCTAAAATCGAATACACTTGTGGTTTTTGAAATAAAACAAACAAACAAAAAATGTGTGTTCTTTATGTGAGAAAGGGTCACATTTTCTCACCATAATATAAAAATATTTCTGAAAATAGAAATAAAATAAATTATAGTTTAAAAAAACTAAAGAACACGCGTTTACACAAAATTGAACTAAAAAGTAAAAAAAAAAATTCTTAATATAAGAATAAAATGATGAACGAGAAAAATAATGTTATTGGGGTGTTCTATAAATATATGAATTATTGCAGTTTCTGACTTCTATTCCCAAATGTTGAGTTAGTGTAAAAATGTAGTACAAAGCACCCCACGCTTTTACCACAATGACATTTAATTCTAAATAATTATTAAACAATTGATACTTTCTTAATTTTGTCTTAGAATTTTTATTTTATTTTAACAGTTCATCTATATTAGGATCAGTTCTTGATGATGCTAAGCAAATTAGGTTGTTTTACGTGTGCATCAGCCAGTTTTGAGCAATATTTTTATTCTATTATGTTCAAAATAGAAAACATTCGTTCACAAACATATTGGTCCGAACCTTACAACAATATATGAAAGCCAAATCGTGTAAATCATGGAAAATTGCTTTTCGGTACAACTTTTCAAAATTCAACATAGTTTGGATCTCTTGCAGTTCCTTATATTTGCTTTTTAGTGTATTGGGGTCAATAATTCCTATTTGAATTTATGATAGGTAACGTCTTGTAGAGAAATTATGAAAAATATGAAAGATGAGCATTTCTTATCCAACCTAGCACTGAATGAATCCTACACAATGTGGACAGTGCATTTTTACTTCTATCTTAGCTCGGAGAATTCTTAACTTTGGTAGATGGTTCTTGTATTAATGTGTTAACATTTTTTCTCCAAATTTGAGGGGGGATCATTATTCCTTGTAATCTTAAATTTAAATTATTTAAATGCCCCGTAGTATCGGTAAGAAAAGCTAAATTCCAAAGTAAATCTTCATTCTTGAGTAGCAAACACTGACTAAGCGGATCAATATTTTCATCCAGATATTTTAAAAGCTCCACTCCCTCAAATTCAAAAATCTCATGAGTGAGGAAAGCCGGCGCTCACAACAGTGAAGGCCTACATTATAGTTTTCTATTGTAATATATACAATTAACTATGTAACAGTTCTATCTGCGACCTTTTCGCTAATAATCTTCTTGGGGAATTTTTGGTCTTTAAAAATTATTTTATTATAAAACCCTTCCTCGAAGAAGACGTGTGATTATGTAAACTAAAATTATTATATATAGTCTAGTCTTTCAGGTTAGAAGGAGAGATAGGAGAGATTTGCTAGCGGAACAGTGATTAATCAAATCGAATGTGAATCGCAGATATTTAATATTTGATAACTGAATTACTTAGGGTGACGATCTGTCTCTGGAGATTGAATCTGAATTAAATAGATAAGAAGCCAGAGCTATTGCCTTGAGTATGTGTATTTATTAAAATCTTCTCATACCTCGCTTACATCGTTAATTGTCTTCATATTTATTATTTGGGTGCATCTCTTAGCCTTGATCGATTGAATTTGAGTTGTGGTGATTATTGTGAATAAATTAGATTTTTCTTGAAAAAAGGCTAGTCTTCCTTCCAATCCTCCCACATCCTTAGGCGTACCGATAAGATCCTTACAAGTATGTTTAAAATAAATTTTAATAGTGTGCATTTTTTTTTTTTTTTTTTTTTTTGTCTAAGACAACCGCATTTCCATAAAACAAAAGCAAAAAAAAGGTATTTATTATTATCTTTTTAAATTCTTTAATTTTTCGATAAGTCTTCACGTGCCACTACTACAACTCTGCCGTGCCACACTGTGGCATGCGTGCCACGAGTTGACCACCCCTGCTCCATGCCATTCGCAGAATCCTTTTAGGCGAAGAGCCATTGGGCAGCTAATTTCATTACTGCTGTTCATTAAACCATTTAATTTTATTGTAGTTTTTCAATTGAGGGATTATTGAATCTATCAACTAAGGAGTAGATGGTTCGGTTGTATTTAATTGATGCTTTAGATATCAAAAAACAGCATTTAATTTGAGCGCACAGAAACGATGCTGTTGTTCCACCAAAAATTTTCTTTTCACTTTATGCCAGTGTTTCTCAAACTTTCCATATTTGCGTCACAAATAAAAAACATAAAACAATATAAAAAATATATAAATTATACCCCCATATAAAAAAAATAATGTATTTAATTCAATAATACTATAACGCTAAAGGTACAATACGACTTTAATCTCATAAGTGCCACTGGCGTATATATAAGTCTCGCTCAGCCAAAACGTTAATTTCCTCGGGGACGTATATATACGTCTTTCCGAAGTACGATCTTTTCTGTGCACTGCTGTCCATAAAATTATTCCGAAGTCTTTGGAATGCAGTAAAACGCCGTCAGTGTTTGTGAAGGATTTATTTATTTCAGAGAAGGTTTCACTTACTCACACATATATATATATATATATATTCTTCCCTCCCCCAATGTATCACATACGCGTGCCTACGTACAATGTGGAATTGGGGAGCAAATCCGGTAATTTTTAATCAGCGGTTAAGGAATTAATTATAAACCGACAAATTATCATTAATTTTTGTATATACTTTTATACATGACAAGCCCACATGGAGTCACTGGTTATTATTAAACTTGTTCTTAACTTAGTATTGTTAAATTAATTATAAAATACATTTATAAGTGTATTATATCGGTGCAAATGTGAATTTTATTTTTTATTATGTCAGAATGTATTTTGTTTGTTTATCTTCAGTAAAGAAACAAAAATTAATAATTTTTTAAAATAATCTTTTATTTTCGACTTTTCAATATGCTCGAGCCCTCCTCGAAGAGTTATCACGCCCCCAAAGGGGGCGTGCCCCACAGTTTGAGAAACGCTGCTTTATGCTAAGTAGGTATAATGGTATCACCCCACTTAATATACAGATTACCTGGCTAATGTATAGATTAACTGATTTCTGCATTCTAGCGGAAACCTATGTTTTATTTTATTTTTTCTTATTATTATTAATTTTTTTTCAACTCGTCCGAAAAATGCATACAATTCAATGTTGTTCCTCCTACAGGTAGTTTTGCTGAAACGGACCCATGTCTGAAGGATATTAAAGAGCATAATTGTGGACGTGAGACAAACTGCAAGAAAGTCGAGGGGAAAGGTTTGAATTTTGAATGCACTTGCGCTCCTGGATTCGAAACCTATGCCATCGTTCAACCCTTTTACGATTCAGATACAGTCGTTCAGAGATGCCAAGGTATGTAGTGAAATGTTCGTATGATATTTAAAAAATCTATTTTTCTTTTAAATTTTAATTACTAAATTAAAAAATTAAAGAATAAAGAATAACACAGCGATGAACCACGAAATTGGGGAAGATAATTTTTATACCCTTAGATTTTCGAAGGTTCCCCTCGCACATCTGGGCTGCAAACAACTTGAATGAAGAGTAATGTCAGTCGGTCCGGACAAAGACCCACCCCCAGCT